TCGCAATGACAACAATAATATATCAATACACAATGATGTTGAAATATTTCAACTTTGCGTGTTTAGGAATCTAATAATATCAAAGTCTTTTAAAATCTTCTGAAAATTATCAATTATGAAACTTTCAAATGGTACTGAACTAAGTATTTAAACTAATTTTAACATCATTGTCCATCATTCTTCCCCGTGATACGTGTCAAATTTCATTTCGATCGATTACCAATGCCTTCGAAAACTATCATTAAATATCCCATACTACGCTGCGGCACCATTCGAAGGAGAATAAAATACCTCCTAAGAATACCTCATGAGATTGATCCAATATTCATTGAACACAGGCAGGCGAGACTTAGTGAAACCCTCGACTTTGCTTCTGTTAGCCACCAACTGTTTCATTACAGGCGGATAATCGCCTTCCTTGGAGAAGATCGGGTGCATGGTCCAGCCAACGTTGAATTGGAAAGCGGTCTCCGCAGCGGCGTCAAATTCAAAATTCATGGGCATGTAGGCCGACGGGTTGACCAGAACGCCAACCTCGCCACCATATTTCGACCTGAACTCACTGTCGTAGATCCTGTACGCCACCGCGTGCGATTTCAGCACGTTGTGTATGCACAGGTACTCGCCGAATCCAGGAAAACGTTTGCCAGGTGCGTGTATACCAAGGGTGTAGCCATTTTTGCAAATGGCCGTCGGCTCGTTTATCGTGACGAATTTCGTTACCTTCGACCCGTATTCACGGAACACGATTCTCGCGTAATCACCGAACCAGTCGACCATCTCGTCGTTCAACCAACCGCCCATGTCTTCGAGGACCTGCGGATGGTCCCAGTGGTAAAGAGTCAACATTGGCTCGATGCCGTTCGCTTTAAGCTCGTCGATTAAGTTATGGTAGTATTGAACGCCATCCGCATTGATCTTGTTCGAGAAACCGGTCGGAAGTATCCGTGGCCAGCTGACGGAGAAGCGGTACCACTTGAACTGTTGAAAAGTAGGCAGACAATCACTTCAGTTTGCTGTTTTTTCTTTTTTTCTCTTTTTTTATTCTAGTATTGTCTTGATGTTCGTATCGCGGGTTCTTATGATGATTACGGTGATTAACGAACGGTCTTAACAATTTATGAAAGTGATAACGGAGATCGTGGATCTCTAGATTTTTAGTGACAATTAGGATTGTAATCTGAAATTTATGAACATCACTGCGAGAGTAGAATCTTTGTGAACGAATGGACTTAGTGATAACTAATCTATCTTTAGGAGTCTAATGATGATTAATCCGTGAAACGTGAATCTGTGTGCAGAACTTCTATGAATTTTTATAAGTCTCGTCGTGAATTTCTACGAACATAGTAATAACTTATATTAAATAGGAATTACAGATCATCGTGAATCTGATACTAATATGTACGTAAATTGTGGATCTTCATAATCCTAATAGTCATTAATACATAAATTTCTATGAACCTAGCCACTAATACATGAATTTTGAATCTCTAAGAACCTGACTGAATTAATGGAACTGTAAAGGGAGATACATGAAACTTGTGTGAAGATCTATGAAAAAATTTTTCACGAGAAAAACAAAGAGAAACACCGAAGTAAGCTAAAGCGCTTGGAAAAAATAAGTAACTGAAGATCTAGCAATCAATTGATTTTACAAAAGTTAAAGAAGAACTTTGACAGAGTTAGTAAATTATTAATTTAGATTATTACATTTAGTACAACTGTATTATTGCTCGAAGTGTATGTGTATTGGAATGGAATTTGTGCTGTTTCATTGTTTTAAACGTGCAAATGTTCGAAACTGTATATATTGCTGACAATTGTGTCAAATTTTAATGAAAATTGAAACGTGCCACCCGAAACTCGAAGGTGGAAGCTTTTTAAATCGCGCTGCTTCTGATATGTTTCGAGCAACTCTGTTACGTCAACGTTTCAAAGTGCCGCGAAATTCACCGGTGACATTTTGACACGTATAATTCCGTGTAAGTTGAGCTCTCGAATCACCTAAAGCAAATTCACGTATAATTTCAGAGGAGGAAGTTTCGTTTCATATTTCTGTAATATC